GGTCCTCGGCAGTAAGTCGGACACATTTCCGGTGAGGGTTGGCCTCCGCCAGGGCTGCGCTTTGTCACCAATCCTGTTTGTAATATACATGGATCGGATTTCGAGGCGTAGTCGTGGGGGAGGGGGTCTGCAGTTCGGTGGACTAAGGATTGCACCACTGCTTTTTGCAGATGATGTGGTTCTAATGGCTTCATCGGTCTGCGACCTTCAGCACTCACTGGATCGGTTCGCAACCGAGTGTGAAGCGGCTGGGATGAGGATCAGCACCTCCAAATCTGAGGCCATGGTTCTCAGCAGGAAACCGATGGACTGTCCACTTCAAGTGAAGGAGTTCAAGTATCTCGGGGTCTTGTTCTCGAGTGAGGGAACAATGGAGCGTGAGATGGGCCGGAGAATCGGAGCAGCGGGAGCGGTACTGCAGTCGCTTTACCGCACCGTTGTGACGAAAAGGGAGCTGAGCCAGAAGGCAAAGCTCTCTGTCTACCGGGCCATTTTCGTTCCTACCCTCACCTATGGTCATGAAGGATGGGTCATGACCGAAAGAACGAGATCGCGGATACAAGCGGCCGAGGTGGGTTTTCTCCGCAGGGTGGCTGGTGTCTCCCTTAGGGATAAGGTGAGAAGTTCGGTCATCAGGGAGGGACTCGGAGTTGAGCCGCTCCTCCTTTGCGTCTAAATTAGCCAGTTGAGGTGGTTCGGGCACCTAGTTAGGATGCCACCTGGGCGCCTCCCTAGGGAGGTGTTCCAGGCACGTCCAGCTGGGAAGAGACCAAGGGGTAGACCTAGGACCAGGTGGAGGGATTATATCTCTTCGCTGGCCTGGGAGCGCCTTGGGATCCCCCAGTCAGAGCTGGTTGATGTCGCCAGGGAAAAGAAAGTTTGGGGCTCTCTGCTGGAACTGCTACCCCCGCGACCCGACCACGGATAAGCGGGAGAAGATGGATGGATGGATGGATTTTCATTTATTGTCATTTCCATTCAGTCAGTCATAAAGTGCTATTAAAATGTTAATGTGCTACATATCCACACAAACACACAAAGTGTGGAATCCAATGAATGTTAATCTAACTGAGTTTTGATAGATAACATATCTCTTTTTCTTCTCTCAATTATTTTATTTCTATTGTGCACTCTAATCAATATTAATCAAACTATTGTTCGTTTATACATTTTAAGAATGGCGTTTATCTTTTTTGAGAATGAGTTCTTATTTTATTTCATGTATTTGGGTCTACAACAGATGATACAAATGTTTGTGTCAGTAAATGTGTACTAACAGAGGCGGGGGGGTGTGTGGAAATAACGGGGACAGAGCTGCTGTCAGACGATCAGCTGTGCAGCGTCATCACAAACGGACGTCGCTTCACGTGACGCTCCGGAGGAAAGGACGTCCCATTGCTCTTAAAACTAATTTCCCTGCTTCTCGTGGTTTCCTTGCGTCCCTCCATGCTTCCCTGGTGGGAGGGACTAAACGCAGGGAAACGACGCAAGTGAGGGAAGCAAGGATTTAATTTAATTGACCTGAGAAGCAGCCTTTGTGTGCACGTCTTTAGACTCAGGTGACAAGGGGGCAGCAACAACTCATATTAGGCTTGTTTGAGACAAGCGAGACCTGCGCAGTTGCGATCAACGTCTTGCTAGTGCGTTGCATGATGGTTAGTCATTTTGTCCGACTTGCTCTGGAGGCTCGCCTACATGAGACGTTGAAATCTCGCGGGACAAAGACGCCCACAGCCTTGAGAGCGAGGCGGCGCAGTTCCGGAGCGTCCACACTACAGCTTCAAAAAAAGCTTGGAGCTGGGCGTGTCTGAAGCTTGGGGATGTTATTAAGCAACACGACCAACAACCAATCACATGAATCTCCCGCCCCCGACATACAAAGCAAAAACCCCCGGGGATTTTATGGGAGAAATATATATATATATATAAACTCCCCAAACAGGCGAAAACCTACCAGTTTCACCCACTGTCTCTGCCACCTCCCTCCATGCCTGGTTCCTCCGGTTTGTATCCCGGTAGGTGAAGAGGGTTTGATTGATTGAAAAGTTTATTAACAGCTTGTATATTGGGTACAGTACAGTACAGCTCAAAACATACAATTGTTAAGGGGATGCAGACCAGAGAAAGACTTTCGTCTTGTTTACATCAGGGTCCCCCATTTCCAATTCATCATATCATATAAGACATATAAGACATATTTGACATACAGATGGCTTATTTACAATTTACATACAGGTGGTTTTTACATACAGATTGCTTATTTACAATTTTCATTTTAGATTTCGTTCTAATACATCCTAACCGGACATTTAAGACATACCAAGTCTACAGATATACAGTTAGTAACAGAGTCTAAAATGCGAGTATATACATAGATGGGGGGGGGGAAGCTGTCCATTGTCTGTATACGCCGGGATCCGGAGTCATGGATGATCCTGCGCTCCTCTGTCCTGGATCGCGAGCCCTGGATCTTGAGTCGTGGCTGTGGTCCTGGATCATAGGTCCTGGATGGATATCCTCGTGGATTCATCTTCCTATTATACACACATGCATTTCCAAACATTTGGACTACCTATGTTGCAAATGTATTATCTTTTCAATTTACACACGGCATCTATTGCACGTCTGTCCGTCCTGGGAGAGGGATCCCTCCTATGTTGCTCTCCCTGAGGTTTCTCCCATTTTTCCCTTTAAACTGTGGGTTTTCTTCGGAAGTTTTTCCTTGTACGATGTGAGGGTCTAAGGACAGAGGGGTGTCGTATTGTCATACTGATATTTTGTACAAACTGTAAAGTCCACTGAGACAAATGTAACATTTGTGATATTGGGCTATATAAATAAACATTGATTGATTGATTGATTGATTGAATGACAGGTTGAGATTTGTACCATTACCGGGGCCAGTTTTGCAATGCTCTCCCCCGAAGGTGCTCTTTAAGAGAGGTTTTGAAGGTAAGTATAGTTTTACTTTCCTTACAGTTGTGGGAAGAGCGTTCCACCTTGATGTGGCATCATTGCGAAACGTGTGTTCCCCCTTTTTTGTGCCAAATCTGGGTTTCACGTGATTTGTGGAGCTCCCTCTGGTGTTATGATCATGGTATTCCTTGACCTTTGGGAAGAATTTTGACATGTACATGGGTACCATGGGGTGTAGTGGATCTTGTAGACCAGGCCCATTGCAAGTAGCTGTACTCTGTCGTCTACTCTAAGCCATCCTAGGTTGTCAAAGTGGGCAGAGGTGAGGTGGGTTCTAGATGAAAGGTCAAGCAGTAGTCTGACCAGTTTATTTTGCGATGTTTGAAGTAAAGGGTCTGCTCATACAAAACCGGGTGATTCGCTACGGCGATAATTAGTTTCTCCTCCATCTTTTTTTGAAATACAGAAATGAACGGCAGGATATCTCTCCCAGCTTAGACGCGGTTTGATTGGCTACGGCTTGAGCTGTCAGATTTTCCGAAACGGGATTTGATTGGCTGGCGCTGGCTACTCCGGCGTCTCCGGCGTCTCCGGCGTCTCCGGCGTCTCCGGCGTCTCCGGCGTCAGAAGTTGAACAATGTTCAACTTCTGACGCTCTACACTACAGGCATAAAAAAATCTTGAAGCTGGGCCTGTCTGAAGCTTGGCGATTTTTTGCGAGCAACGCGACCAACAACCAATCACATGAATCTCCCGCCCCCGACATACAAAGCAATAGTAATGTTAAAACGAAGTAAACTGGATATAAAATCCCCAAACAGGCGAAAACCTACCAGTTTCACCCACTGTCTCTGCCACGTCCCTCCATGCCTGGTTCCTCCGGTTTGTATCCCGGTAAATAGTCCTGGTCGGAAAGAACCGGGTGATTTGCTACCGTAATTTCTCGTTTGGAATATGAGGAAATGAACTGCGGTCTGGCTCTCAGCTTGCACGCGGTTTGATTGGCTAGCGCTTGTACTGGCGGGAATTGCATAAACGGGATTTGATTGGCTGATGCCAAGCATCGAGCCACAAAAGTTGAACATTGTTCAACTTTTGATGCCGATAGATGCTCGTGATGCTTGCAACGCCATGGGTGATGCGTGATGCTTGCAACGCAAACTCCCCACAATGCAGTTCGGCGAAGTTTGAAAATATCCTACGTCACCCCATTCAAATGAATGGGCGAAGCGTTGAAAGCATTTTTTGATGCCTGTAGTGTAGACGGGCCGTCACGGCCCGTCTACACTACAGACGCCGGAGACGAACCGCTCTGCTACCCACAATTCAGTTCGGTGAAAAAAAGCGGCAACGTGACGTCACCCCATTCAAAGTGAATGGGCAGATTGAAGCTGTCGACGCTGCAGACGCTGTAGTGTGGACGGGCCGTTCCTCTCCACGGGCTGCGGAAGCGAAATGCTTGATGGGAAACCACTCGCTGGTATCTCGACCTGAGCGCTCATTGGTGGTTTTTACCACGTGCTGCTGATGAAACTCTCCAATTGGCTCGGCAAAAGTTTGTTGTTGTTTTGTGTCAGTTTTACGTCGCCACATCCATTCCCATTTTTCATCATTGTTCCACAATATTTATCATCATGACATTAATATCCATATATTTTATACTTTACTTGCACTGCTTACCGTTTCATACTTTATGTATCTTAGCATATTCATACACACTGTTCATACTGCTCACAGGCTGATATCTAGTGTATTCATACCCCTCACTGTTTATTCATCATTCAATTCATTCTATATGTTATTCTGTAGATTGTGTACATTACTTTTCACTTTACTGCTTGTTGCAGCGTTAGAAGCTAAACTGCATTTCGTTGTCTCAGTACCTGTAATCTGTGCAATAACTATAAAGCTGAATCTAATCTTGAGCAGGAACAAATGTATTTACTTAGTACATATCTGACATTAACGATTAAACACGTGTGCATTCTTTATAAATGCAAACCGAGTCAAGCAGACTCCGGAGGTGGCGGTATGCACCTTCAAGCTGTTTGCAATCCGCCAAAAAACCGAGAGACGAAGAAGAAGAAGACGAAGTCGACTCCGAGCTGTCCGACTTCAGGCGAGCTTTTTGAGACCTCCCTCGGCTGCGATCGGCTATTCTCGTCTACTTTCGAGGCGAGCCGCAACGCGTCTCAAACAAGCCTATTCTCTTTAGACATTTACAAATCGCGTCAAGCTAATTTGTCCTCTCACGCTTACCGTAGCTTCTCACTGATTGGTCAAAGGGAAAATATGGCGCTGTCCTCGTAATTGTTAAAACATGATGAAGAAAACATGATGAAGAAAGGATTAATGTAGTGTTTCACAGCAAGGAGCAGACTGTAGGACGTGTTTATATCTCACCAAGGTATGTAGCAGTTACTATTTCCCGCCTGTAATGTTCAGTGGGTTAAAGTAGAGGAGGTTTAGCTTCTGCTGCTAGCTGCTAGCATCACAGCTAACATTACAGTCAGCTGTAAACAGAGAAGCTTCATGTTAGCACTCAGTGCTAGCTTTAGCACTTCTGCTGTTTTGGTTACATGGAGAGACTCCTCCATGTCTAACCCGTTCCGTGTACTGTGTGTACTGTGTGTACTTCAGTGTACTGTGTGTACTGTGTGTACTTCAGTGTACTGTGTGCACTTCAGTGTACTGTGTGTACTTCAGTGTACTGCAGTGTACTGTGTGTACTGCAGTGTACTGTGTGTACTTCAGTATACTGTGTGTACTGTGTGTACTGCAGTGTACTGTGTGTACTTCAGTGTACTGTGTGTACTTCAGTGTACTGTGTGTACTTCAGTGTACTGTGTGTACTTCAGTGTACTGCAGTGAACTGTGTGTACTTCAGTGTACTGTGTGTACTGCAGTGTACTGTGAGTACTTCAGTGTACTGTGAGTACTTCAGTGTACTGTGTGTACTTCAGTGTACTGTGTGTACTTCAGTGTACTGTGAGTACTTCAGTGTACTGTGTGTACTTCAGTATACTGTGTGTACTGTGTGTACTGCAGTGTACTGTGTGTACTGCAGTGTACTGTGTGTACTGCAGTGTACTGTGAGTACTTCAGTATACTGTGTGTACTGTGTGTACTGCAGTGTACTGTGTGTACTGCAGTGTACTGTGTGTACTGCAGTGTACTGTGAGTACTTCAGTGTACTGTGTATACTTCAGTGTACTGTGTGTACTTTTTTTCTGGTCATTTTGTGTCCCTTCTGTAGCTGTTATGTTTCTTCTTTTATTTACTTTTAAAATGTGTGACTTTCTGTTGTTTTGCCTTCTTTGTATACTTTGTGTACTTTGTGTACTTTGTGTACTTTGTATACTTTGTGTACTTTGTGTCTCTGCTTCTGTTTCTATTCCATGCCAGTCTCTTTCTCAGTAGCTCAGTGTTTGCATCTCGTTGTTGTTGTTCAGGTATATTGTACGCGTCTTTACTGACATGGACTATAACGATGCTACCGTGTGAGGCAGGCTACAGTGCAACACAACAAAACATCGTGTTAAAAAAACACCAAATATGTGTTCATTCTGCTTTTAAAATTGCTCAAACTTTCGATACAACACATTTGTTGATGTACAATGCGGGACAACTGGACGTAACAAAATAGTAAAAGGGTATTCCAGCAGAACATGTCTTCAGTTGAACCTCTCTGTTCTGACCCTTCTCCTCTCGCCCCCAGCCCTCAGCATGCCTGCCTTCAGACAGGTGGGGGAGAAGCAGCTTCCCAACCCGGTGCTGTGCATGGCCTGGTCCCCAAAGAGAGATCTGATCGCTCTGGCCAACACCACCGGAGAGGTACAATCTGAAATACATCCATCCCTGAAACATGTCCTTTTGAATGACTGGTTTTCAATGCCATCTTTGTGTTGAAAGGTGCTCTATAAATATTATTATTTTACTGTACTTTGTATTATTGTATTAACTTAACTCATGTTTTGTAATTGTACGTGTGCTGGATATGATGCAATGTTTTCAGTGTTTATTGATTGTTGTGTACCAGATTAGATATTAGCTCTAATCTGGTGTAATTCTTCTGAATGTATTTGTATGCACGGTCCTTGTTGAAATATATACATAATATTAATAAACTTGCCTTGGTATCTTTTATGGTTTTGTATGTCAATGTCTCTCTGTTGTCCTCAGTTGCTGCTGCACCGATTGGCCAGTTTCCAGAGAGTTTGGAGTTTACCCCCCAGTGAGTTCACGGGGAAGGAGATCACTGCGCTCGCCTGGAGGCCTGATGGCAAGAGTAAGGCAGGACATTAATACATGTGTGTTTTATAGTTGTTTGTTACAGAAAAATGAACCTGCCAAATCCACCCTCAGCAGGGTCACTAACATATCACTCACCATCCATGGCTCCATTGTTTCCCCTCCAATCAGGCACCTTGGCGTGATCTTTGACCCCAGCCTCTCCCTCGAACCTCACATCCGCCAAACAGTCAAAACCTCATTTTATCACCTCCGCAATATTGCAAAAGTCCTACCCTCTCTCACCCGCCCCGCAGCCGAATGACTTCATTTCCTCCCGCCTCGACTACTGCAACTCACTTCTTTACGGCATCAGCACTACATCCCTCAACAGACTCCAACGGGTTCAAAATGCAGCTGCACGTCTCCTCACGCATACCACATCATGGCATCACATCACCCCAGTCCTCAAAGACCTCCACTGGCTTCCTGTCTCCCATCGCGTCAACTACAACATTCTGGTCCTCACCTACAAAGCCCTCCACCATCTGGCCCCCCCTTATCTCACAAACCTTCTTACGGCCCGTCCACACAGCGGCGTGCATTGAAGCTTCCAACGCTTCTGCCCATTCACTTTGAATGGGGTGACGTCACTTTTAGCCGAACTGCATTTTGGGAAGCGACGTGGAGCGTTGCTGGCGTTGCTCGCTTCAAAAGTTGAGCAATGTTCAACTTTTGGCGCCTCGACGGAGGCGTCAGCCAATGAAATCCCGTTTATGCAAATCTGACAGTACAAGCGCTAGCCAATCAAACCGCGTGTATGCTGGGAGAGACTACGCAGGTAATTTCCTCATATTCAAAAAAATGGAGGGAAATTTCATTGTAGCGGTAGTGAATCACCCGGTGCTGTATGATCAGTCTCTGTTCATCTACCGGGATACAAACCGGAGCGAGGCATGGAGGGAGGAGGCAGAGACAGTGGGTGAAACTGGTAGGTTTTCGCCTGTTTGGGGATTTTATATCCAGTTTACTTCGTTTTAACATTGCTATTGCTTTGTATGTCGGGGCGGGAGATTCATGTGATTGGTTGTTGGTCGTGTTGCTCGCAAAAAATCCCAAAGCTTCAGATACGCCCACCGCCAAGCGTCAACGCACGCTGCTGTGTGGACGCTCCGTCACCCCCTATCAACCCCCACGGTCCCTCAGATCCACCGCAGCTTTGGGGACAGAGCCTTCTCAGTGGCAGCTCCTGAGCTCTGGAATTCCCTCCCCCAAGATCTTCGTGACTCCGAAAGCGTCTTTGAGTTCCTGAAAAGCGCTATATAAATATAATTTATTATTAATAAAATAATAAAAAATAAAAAACATTTGTACATTAATACTCCTTTTTCTAATTATTCTGCAAGTTCATCTGAAACAATTTAAATGCACATAAATAGGAAAATAATTAAATAAAATGTTTTGATTAAATTGAAAATCAACAAATGTTTGTATTAATTTATTTTAATATTTTATACATTTTCAATTATTATTTTCTGTTAACATTTATCAACCTTTTTATTAATTTCCTTATTTATTAAATCATGTATTATTATAAAAACAAATATATAAAGTTGCATTTAAATGTCTTTTCCTGTGCATATGTATTTACTTCCAAGTTACCATGCACATTGATGCTTTTATTTCTGCATGTATTATTTTACTTGTTGAGGCCTTTATTATAATGATAGCTTGCGTCCTCCTTCGCGTCCTCCTTCGCCTCCTTGTTGATGTGAAAATGAAGATATTAAACCTTAATTCTCGTTCCTCCACAGTCCTGGCCTTCCACCTGAAAGACACCCAGCAGGTGGTCCTGTGCGGCGTGGAGAAGGCAGAGATCCTCCACGTGTTCCCCATGCAGAACTCTGTGACCTGCATGCACTGGATGGAGGTGACGGAGGAGAGCAGGTACACACATAAACATTCATCAGAAATAAAGGACGCCTGATTTCGAAGATTAAATATTTTTATTTTGATAAATAATGTATTTATATTCAATTTAATATTCCATTAATTACGCACTTAATGTATAATATCCTGCTTTATATTTTGTTAACTGCAGATTAGGGCTGCACGATATATCGTGTTTTGACGATAATCGCGATATGCGCATGCGCAGGACGTGCGATATTAAGTAGGCAAATTAACTCAAAAGGAACAAAAAGAAAACTCGCGCGGCTTAAGCCCGATTGCCCCCACCGATAGGGGCAAACACAACAATATTGCAGTGGCGAACCGTGGCCATCACAACTGGACCTTCTGTAGACACACCCCCCCCGGCATTATAATGTCCGTCTGTTCACTGAATTGTCGTCTTGGAAAGGGTACTCACAACAATTCCGCAACAGCTTCATCTTCACCTGTTGCACTTGTCATTTCAACGTTAAAAACAATAAAACGGCTTGAATTTCTTCGTCGCATTCATCTGGATCCTCTGCCTCGAGCCAGTTAACTAGCGGGCCTACTAGAGTACCTGGAACCGAGGGGAACTCTGAAAGAATACGCCCATTGGCTACAAATCAATATCTGATTGGTTGATCAAACTGTCAGTCCAAACGTACGCTCTCATTCAGTGCAACGGCCAGGGCATTCGATCAAGGATGGAGAATACCTTGGTGAAGGATATTCTACCCAGAGACCCAGAACAAGATCTGATTGGTTGCTTTCTTTTCTAACACAAACCCACTGAAATGCGTAGAGCATGGTCCGAGAAGGACAAACACATCAACGTAACACTGTGATATTACAGATCAACAACACGGATACCATTCTCATTTATTCAGTTTATTACATTTATTTATATAATTAAATGGATTTTTTGTTTGTTTTATCCGAGTGTTCCCGGGTGTTCTCTGAATACCTTGAAGGCCCTGACGGTCCGTCACTGCAATATTGCACGAAACAGCGTCTGAGGGCTTCTTAACATTTAACAAACTATGAATGTGTCATTCCCACTTAACGGGAAGAAACTCAGCTGACTGACGATACTAACCATTTTTAGCTGAACGAAACACAAGGGTAACAAGCTTCTGAATCAGCACTAAGCGAAAAAATGCTAACGCACTTAGCACAGAACTCACGGTAGAGATATTTTATACTTCATGCAATCTGCACAAACTAGATATCAGATGAAAGCTGAGATTCCACGGATTCCATTGGTATAGGTATCATCACTGTGCGACCAAAACTCAGGGCAGCGAAAGCCAGGAAATACAACACACAACTCCCCTTACGGGGCCAAGCTACTATTATTAGCTTACCTTCCGTCTTCAATAACTCAGGATTCAGACGTTCGGATGTTTTTTACCGGAAGCCGGATTATCTGCAGATGTCTTCTCCTCCTCTCCAAAGCAAACGGACCCGGTGATTAAAGGTAAACCCACTGAATAAAGTAGTTTCATGTGTTTCTCCAGGGCAGTTCGGCGCTGCTAACCGAGCTAGCTCAGCTTGTTGCTCTGATAACTTAAGATCCAGACGTCCGTGACTAAAATCCTTCATCCGGCTGAATATAGTTTAAAAAAAATACCAATTGAATAGCATTAAAGTTCAAGAAAGGATGGGACAAAAAAAACTGTCTTTTCTTCAATTCCTGTAGTTTTTCATATATATATCGCAGGAGGGAAAAATATCGCAATATCAGTTTTTTCCAATATCGTGCAGCCCTACTTCAGATGGAAATGAGCTATTAGCTCAAATCTGGCATAATTCATCTTTTCCCCTTTCTGAGATTAATGTATTTGTATGCATGGTCCTTGTTGAAATAAATACAAAATAATAATAACTGTTCATTTGTATTTCAACATTTATATTTTCTACTTTTTTAATGCTATTTTATTTCTGTTTGAGATGTTTACATTTTGGATTGTTTATGCCTTTTATTTTTATGCTGCTGCCACGCAAACATGTCCCAAATTGGGATCAATAAAGTACTTCTTATCTCCTCTCCTCTCTCTCTCTCTCTCTCTCTCCTCTCCTCTCCTCTCCTCTCCTCTCCTCTCCTCTCCCCTCTCTTATCTTATCTTATATCTCAGCGCCCTCAGCTCCTTCTACAACTCTGAGGATGAATCCAAGCTGTTTCTCCCCAAATTACCGACACTCCCCAAGAGGTAAAATAAGATTTAACTGTGCTAAGATCCTCAGAAAGTGATCAGGAGTAAAGTGAATAACATGTTTCCTCACTTCTATCTTCCACAGTTACAGCACCACCTCAAAGATCTTCAGGTGGGGGGCACGTTAAAGCATTCATCAATACTCTGATATCAGCATTCATCAATACTCTGATATCAGCATTAATCAATACTCTATCAGCATTAATCAATACTCTGATATCAGCATTAATCAATACTCTATCAGCATTAATCAATACTCTATCAGCATTAATCAATACTCTATCAGCATTAATCAATACTCTATCAGCATTAATCAATACTCTGATATCAGCATTCATCAATACTCTGATATCAGCATTCATCAATACTCTGATATCAGCATTCATCAATACTCTGATATCAGCATTCATCAATACTCTATCAGCATTCATCAATACTCTGATATCAGCATTCATCAATACTCTGATATCAGCATTCATCAATACTCTATCAGCATTAATCAATACTCTCATCAGCATTCATCAATACTCTGATATCAGCATTCATCAATACTCTGATATCAGCATTCATCAATACTCTGATATCAGCATTCATCAATACTCTATCAGCATTCATCAATACTCTATCAGCATTCATCAATACTCTATCAGCATTAATCAATACTCTGATATCAGCATTCATCAATACTCTGATATCAGCATTAATCAATACTCTGATATCAGCATTAATCAATACTCTGATATCAGCATTCATCAATACTCTGATATCAGCATTCATCAATACTCTATCAGCATTAATCAATACTCTGATATCAGCATTCATCAATACTCTGATATCAGCATTCATCAATACTCTGATATCAGCATTCATCAATACTCTGATATCAGCATTAATCAATACTCTGATATCAGCATTAATCAATACTCTGATATCAGCATTCATCAATACTCTGATATCAGCATTCATCAATACTCTGATATCAGCATTCATCAATACTCTGATATCAGCATTAATCAATACTCTATCAGCATTAATCAATACTCTGATATCAGCATTAATCAATACTCAATCAGTATTAATCAATACTCTGATATCAGCATTCATCAATACTCTGATATCAGCATTAATCAATACTCTGATATCAGCATTAATCAATACTCTGATATCAGCATTAATCAATACTCTGATATCAGCATTAATCAATACTCTATCAGCATTCATCAATACTTTGATATCAGCATTCATCAATACTCTATCAGCATTAATCAATACTCTGATATCAGCATTCATCAATACTCTATCAGCATTAATCAATACTCTGATATCAGCATTCATCAATACTCTGATATCAGCATTCATCAATACTCTGATATCAGCATTCATCAATACTCTATCAGCATTAATCAATACTCTATCAGCATTAATCAATACTCTGATATCAGCATTCATCAATACTCAATCAGTATTAATCAATACTCTGATATCAGCATTCATCAATACTCTGTTATCAGCATTAATCAATACTCTGATATCAGCATTAATCAATACTCTGATATCAGCATTCATCAATACTCTGATATCAGCATTCATCAATACTCTGATATCAGCATTCATCAATACTCTGATATCAGCATTCATCAATACTCTGATATCAGCATTAATCAATACTCTGATATCAGCATTCATCAATACTCTGATATCAGCATTCATCAATACTCTATCAGCATTCATCAATACTCTGATATCAGCATTCATCAATACTCTGATATCAGCATTCATCAATACTCTGATATCAGCATTCATCAATACTCTGATATCAGCATTAATCAATACTCTGATATCAGCATTCATCAATACTCTGATATCAGCATTCATCAATACTCTGATATCAGCATTAATCAATACTCTGATATCAGCATTCATCAATACTCTATCAGCATTCATCAATACTCTGATATCAGCATTAATCAATACTCTGATATCAGCATTAATCAATACTCTATCAGCATTCATCAATACTCTGATATCAGCATTCATCAATACTCTGATATCAGCATTCATCAATACTCTGATATCAGCATTAATCAATACTCTGATATCAGCATTCATCAATACTCTGATATCAGCATTCATCAATACTCTGATATCAGCATTCATCAATACTCTGATATCAGCATTCATCAATACTCTGATATCAGCATTCATCAATACTCTGATATCAGCATTCATCAATACTCTGATATCAGCATTCATCAATACTCTGATATCAGCATTCATCAATACTCTGATATCAGCATTCATCAATACTCTGATATCAGCATTCATCAATACTCTGATATCAGCATTCATCAATACTCTGATATCAGCATTCATCAATACTCTGATATCAGCTGTTCACTGTTTGTTTAATGTAATTGTCTCCTGTGACACAGCGAGGAGAAGTCTGATGAGATAATGAACCTCCTGGGAGAAGTCAGGTACATGAAGCCTGGTTTCTAATTCACAGGGAATGCGATGAACAGGAAGTTATTATTCTAGGAGCCATTTAACTGAGTTTATTATAAGTTTTGTTTTTATTTTAATAGTCGAACATGTCTTGGGTTCTTGTGGGTTATCTGTCACCACTTTTTTTTTCTTTTTTTTGGACTCTCTAAATACGCCCTTTTTTGTTTTTTTTCAGACTCTCTAAATACGCCCTTTTTTGGGGGTTTTCGGACTCTCTAAATACGCCCTTTTTTGGGTTTTTTCGGACTCTCTAAATACGTCCTTTTCAGACTCTCTAAATACGCCCTTTTTTGTTTTTTTCAGACACTAAATACGCCCTTTTTGGGTTTTTTTCGGACTCTCTAAATACGCCCTTTTTGGGGTTTTTTCGGACTCTCTAAATACGCCCTTTTTGGGTTTTTTTCGGACTCTCTAAATACGCCCTTTTTTGGGTTTTTTCGGACTCTCTAAATACGTCCTTTTCAGACTCTCTAAATACGCCCTTTTTTTTTTTTTTTTCAGACTCTCTAAATACGCCCTTTTTGGGTTTTTTCGGACTCTAAATACGCCCTTCTTGGGTTTTTTCGGACTCTCTAAATACGTCCTTTTTTGTTTTTTTCATACTCTAAATACGCCCTTTTTTGGGTTTTTTCAGACTCTCTAAATACGTCCTTTTTTGGGGGTTTTCGGACTCTCTAAATACGCCCTTTTTTGGGGTTTTTCAGACTCTCTAAATACGCCCTTTTTTGTTTTTTTCCGACTCTCTAAATACGTCCTTTTCAGACTCTCTAAATACGCCCTTTTTAGTTTTTTTTCAGACTCTCTAAATACGCCCTTTTTTGTTTTTTTCGGACTCTCTAAATACGTCCTTTTCAGACTCTCTAAATACGCCCTTTTTTGTTTTTTTTCAGACTCTCTAAATACGCCCTTTTTTGTTTTTTTCGGACTGTCTAAATACGCCCTTCTTGGTTTTTTTCGGACTCTATAAATACGTCCTTTTCAGACTCTCTAAATACGCACTTTTTTGTTTTTTTTCGGACTCTAAATACGCCCTTTTTTGGGTTTTTTCGGACTCTAAATACGCCCTTCTTGGGTTTTTTCGGACTCTCTAAATACGTCCTTTTCAGACTCTAAATACGCACTTTTTGGGTTTTTTTCGGACTCTCTAAATACGCCCTTTTTTGGGTTTTTTCGGACTCTCTAAATACGCCCTTCTTGGGTTTTTTCGGACTCTCTAAATACGCCCTTTTTAGTTTTTTTTCAGACTCTAAATACGCCCTTTTTGGGGTTTTTTCGGACTCTTAAATACGCCCTTTGTTTTTTTTCACTCTCTAAATACGCCCTTTGTTTTTTTTCGGACTCTAAATACGCCCTTTTTTGGTTTTTTTTGGACTCTCTAAATACGCCCTTCTTGGGTTTTTTCGGACTCTATAAATACGTCCTTTTCAGACTCTCTAAATACGCACTTTTTGGGGTTTTTTCGGAATCTCTAAATACGCCCTTTTTTGTTTTTTCAGACTCTAAATACGCCCTTTTTGTTTTTTTTCAGACTCTAAATACGCCCTTCTTGGGTTTTTTCGGACTCTCTAAATACGTCCTTTTTGGGGTTTTTCGGACTCTCTAAATACGCCCTTTTTTGTTTTTTTCAGACTCTCTAAATACGCCCTTTTTTGGTTTTTTTCTAAATACGCCCTTTTTTGGTTTTTTCAGACTCTAAATAAGTCCTTCTTGGGTTTTTTCGGACTCTCTAAATACGTCATTTTCAGACTCTCTAAATACGCACTTTTTTGTTCTTTTCAGACTCTCTAAATAACCCTAACCTCCAGGATTAATGTTTGTTATTTTGAGAAATGAAGAAGTTCATGTGGAGGAGCTTCCCGCTATTTAAAAAGTGGCGACAGATAACTCACAAGTACCATGTCTTGTTTTATTAGTACACATGGCCTACAGATATTATGTGTTGAATATTTATCTACTCACCTTTTACGCCCCCGAACATATTTGTTGACACCCCGATAATACGATAATACTTTGTTGGTCAGATCAAGTCTGAAATGCTCCTGGCATCCCAGCAGCTCCATGTGTAACATCAACAGACAAACATCAACACACACGAGAAACAAACGACAAACATGTAACATCACAGCAGGATCAGAGAGAGCTGCTCAAAGAACAGGTTTATTACCAGGTAGGGTGACACGTACGAGGAATTAGAATTTGACAAAGACCCTTTAGCGTGCATTTGATCTGGGACATTATGCCTGTTTATTGGGAAGGGGTTGGTTTAGACGGGGGTTGGTTTTAGACGGGGGTAACCCAGTTCACCCACACACACCACTGAGAAGGAGGGATGGGGAACTGGATGATCGTTCTGGATGATCTGCGTTGAAATCACACCCGTATGTTGGAAGTGTCTCTAGAAACGTTGAAGCCACTACATTGTGATGTTAGTGCTTGTGTGCATGCAGGCTGAACGTCCTCGTCCTCGGAGGAGACTCTGGCTTCGTGGAGCTGTTTGCGTACGGGATGTACAAGATCGCCACTCTGACCGGGGTAAGAGGTGTTCACCAAAAACATTTGAAAGAGTTGAATTGTCTGTTTTTGAAGGCTGAGTTCGAACTGGTCATGGTCTTCAAGATTTTAAGTTCTTTGTCCAACTGTCTGACTCCTCAGGTGTCCGGAAGCTGCCGCAGCCTCAGTCTCTCTGGAGACCTGAAGTCTCTCTCCGTCATCACAGAGGTCAAATCTGCTGACAACCAGCTTCAGATCTGCTACCTGCAGGTCAGCACCACTTCTTATACCTCCTTCATCTCCTCCTGTCTCCTTTAACTCTGATTATCACCTCCTCATCTCGTCTCCTCTGTCCTCCTCTCTCCTCTCTCTGATATAATCTTCTCCTGTCTCCTTTAACTCTGATTATTACCTCCTCATCTCGTCTCCTCTGTCCTCCTCTCTCTGATATAATCTCCTCCTGTCTCCCACAGTTGGACACTTGTCTCCTCTCCTCCTGTCTCCTCTCTCCTCCTCCCACTGTTGGACACTTGTCTCCTCTCCTCCTGTCTCCTCTCTCCTCCTCCCACTGTTGGACACTTGTCTCCTCTCCTCCTGTCTCCTCTCTCCTTCTCCCACTGTTGGACACTTGTCTCCTCTCTCCTCTCTGATATTAACCTCCTCTCTCCTCCTCCCACAGTTGGACACTTGTCTCCTCTCCTCCTGCCTCCTCTCTCCTCTCTGATATTAACCTCCTCCCTCCTCCCTCCTACAGTTGGACACTTGTCTCCTCTCCTCCTGCCTCCTCTCTCCTCTCTGATATTAACCTCCTGTCTCCTCCCTCCCACAGTTGGACACTTGCCTCCTCTCCTCCTGCCTCCCGGAGGTGACCCGGATGTCTCGTAAGTTCACCCACATCTCGACTCTCCTTCAGTACCTGCACCTGTCCCTCACCTGCATGTGTGAGGCCTGGGAGGACATCCTGCTGCAGATGGACCTGCGGCTCACCAAGTTCGTCCAGGTCAGAGACACGCATTCAATCGCTGATGAAAACGTGTTTGTCTCCATGATTAAAACCATAGCTGTGATCAACATGCAATCGTGTTAATTGTAGTTTGTTGCGGCTGTAGTAATCCAAGGACGCGCAAGAAACCAGTCTTTCCACTGATATGCGTTTGACCTTTTATTAACAAGTCCACAAATCCAATAGACACGGCCACCACCTAGTGACTCAAAACACGTGCCGTAACAACTAGTGCTGCGTACCGGTACACCGAACCGGTACTGGACTTGTAAAAAGTTTCGGTTCAAGTCCGGTTAAAACCGGAACGTCGGGAACCGGTACTTGGACTCGCAAAAAAACTAGCACTTGTATATTCTCCTTTTTGTTCTAAACCATCTAAAACCTTCCATAGATCGAGAAGTTTGCGCTGAGAAAAGACGAAAAACATCGTGTCGGCTTCTGATATGGCGGCCATTACTGAACTCACGAAGTCTCGCAAAATATCGCAACTGCTCGCGAGATCTGTGTGACGTCAAGGGAAGCTAGCGATGTGATTGGCTTAGACATAGTGGACAGCGTGGTCGAGTAGTAGTCACTACAGTGTGTACTGTACAGTAGGTGTGTAACACCAGGACATGGTTAAACCGTACACCCCAGCGCGTGCACTACGCTCTGCATCAGCCAAACGACTCGTTGCGCCCTCGCTGCGAGGGGGACCCAAGTTCCCATCGGCGAAAACACGTGGGTTTGCTATCCTGGCTCCAAGATGGTGGAATGAGCTCCCCATTGACATCAGGACGGCAGATAGCTTGCACATCTTCCGGCGCAAACTGAAAACTCATCTCTTTCGACTCCACTTCGAGCGATAGAACTATTAACAAAGCACTTATATACTAATAAAGGACTGGATTACCTAAAGCCAGTTGAGTAGCACTTGAAATGTTTGGCTCTATGAAACCTGATATACTTTATGATTCTGTTTTCTTCAAGGTTGTGTCTTCCTGGTCGAATGTACTTATTGTAAGTCGCTTTGGACAAAAGCGTCAGCTAAATGCAATGTAATGTAATGTAATGTAATGTAACAGTGTAATGCGTATAGTCTACTCTACACTTTAGGCTCAGTCAGCTCAGGGACTGTTTGGTTACTTTAGTTTGCTAAATGAAAGACATGTTTGAACTGTGTAGTAGTTCACTGTAGTTGCTGTCATAAGTCATTTGTAGACTAAGTGGCAAAAAGTGTTTTTTTTACATTTGTACTTTGTAGAGAAATGTAGACACAAGTTGGAAGGGAGCGCAATAAACCTGACGAGTTTGAATTTGAGTTGATTATGAGTTTATTTTCAATTGATAATTAGCTCACAATAAGTTCACTTTAGTTACTCACACAACTTGACACAAGCCATGGGTTCAGGTCTGGACTTGAGTCCGGACCTGAACCTGAACCTCTGGACTTGAGTCCGGACCTGAACCTGAATGCGAGTCCAGGTACGCAGCACTAGTAGCAAACACAGAAATACTCTACGCTCCTATAGTTCAACAGGTTGTACCTTTACCTTCCTCTACGTGTCAGTCCTGATGCTGTGTTCCTCCAATGTATAACATATCTGTGGATTATCTTTGAATGTACGGCGGTGCTTCAGCCGGGTGGCTCTTCTCTAACGACCAGCGAGACTCCTTTCAAAGCATTCACCGAGTTTTTTTGTAAGGTAATAAAGAGAAATATGTCTTGACATCTTAACATGTTCGGACTGAAACTACGAAGTAAAACAGACTAAGGGCGCGTTCACACCTGCCTTGTATAGTCCGGTTGAATCGAACCCTGGTGCGTTTAGCCGCTTGGTGCGGTTCATTTGGGTCGGTGGGAACGCAGTCCTCTGACGTGAACTAAACAACCGGACTCTGGTCCGCTAAAATAGGTGGACTCGGAGCGCTTGCTTGCGAACTCTGGAGCGGTTCATTGCTGGTGTGAACGCAGTCCGCACCAAGACACAGGAAGCGTAGTATTTACAAGAACGCGGATATCTGCAAAATCTTTAGCGAAAGAGTCTTTCAAGACATCCGCGGTTGTTCAGTTAAAGAGTGAAGCAGAATGAAGTGTTGAACAGTGTCGTGTAAAGTAACAATTCTCCGTCAGCTACATAAAAGTAAGAACACCTGTTGTCGGTGAAATGCCCTCCTGACTGCAGAACGTCTCTCATGATGTTATAATGTTTTTTAACGGACGTTGTCTGCAGTGGTGTAGTGGGGATTTTTTTACTGGGGGGACGCTATTTTAATTAGGTCATCCCAAACAATGCCACACAAGTGCGCATGCGCGCAGTGCACTCACAAAACGGGCAGACAGGTCCAAAGAAACTACCGGTATGCCTAGTCCTACTTTAGTTACTGTACTGCAAAAAGCAGACGGCGCTGCGCTCAACACACACACAGAACAAAATGTCCAAAGTTGTCCTGAAATTAACTTATTAAATAAACAAAACGAAAAATATAGCCATACTTATGCAAATAACATTGAATCTGGACTTGACATTATTCTGATTAGGCCTAGCCTACATTGCAAATAAGCAGACAGCGCTGCTTTTCACACACACACACACACACACACACACACACACACACACACACACACACACACACCTTGGGTTTTGAAGACTAATAAATCCGTAATGGATGAACAAACTTTGCAGCCCAGTTTCCCAGCTTTGCAGTCTATCCACGGGTAGCCTCTTGTTTCCTCCGCCACATCTCCTCCGTCCATACCTCTGGGAAAGGTGAGCTTGAGCTAGTCAGGGGAACATTGCTAGCGCAGCTAACGTGCACGTTGGCTAGCATTATCTACGTCTTTAGGCGGCTCTTCTGATGATGTAGTACTAGCAGCTTCACTTGTAGCTTCGGTGCTAGCCTCTTTCTTCTTGTGAATTATATTCTTTTTAGAAAATAAGTCAAGTAAAACATGTTAGCCTGCCATTAGCTGTTTCGTTAGCGTTCTTGAGGGAAAGAGCTGCCGCAAAATCGGCGTGCGCGGCGAGCTGGCTCACCGTGGGTGTGTCAGTGACTGGTCAGTGACCGCGGGGTCACGAGCGTGATGACGAATCATACTTTTTTAAGGAAATCGTTTTTATTTTTTATTTTAATTACTGTGAAATGTATTATGTTTTCGTCATTATTACAACAAATACACACTTGCAACTGATAACACTGGCAATGATTTTATATTTATTAGACTTAAAGAAAAGATCATGCTCCAAATAAGTGGGGGTACACCGTACCCCCACTTATTTGGAGCATGATCTTGATCTTGATGATACCCCCGCGTCCAACGCCCACTACACCACTGGTTGTCTGATTATGTAATCATATGCGCGGGCCGCTAGAGTCTGTTGATCTCCAGACTAACAGCAGCATGAGAATAACCTGCAGAAAGTGCCGATGCTCCATGGCGGAGGCTCCGGGAGAAATTGCCGGGATTTGCGTTTTTACCCCCTTAATGTCTGACCAATGGGTGAACAGCATTCCCGTGCACATGACTTGTGTTTAAAGTTTATAGTCCGTTTGAGTTTTGCCGTGTGAACGCAAACCGAGCCTTCTGAAGAATGAAGCAATGCAACAAACTGTGGTCTGGTGCGCAGCAGAGAGCAGACTATTGGATGTGAATGAGACCTAACATTGTGTTAAAATGTCTAAGCATTTTTTGTCCTAAGACTAAATCTAAAGTATCCGGCACTATAACACACATTAACATTAAGTTGTCTGAGTTTGCTAAAAGAATATGTTTCTGTTTGCAGGAGAAGAACACGAGCACTCAGGTTCAGGACGAGTTCCTGGAGCTGCTGCTGTGGGGACAGTCGAGGTGAGGAGAGGTTTCTATCGGTCACGTCTGTTGATGTTGATCTGTAGGAAAGATGTAATGTATTGTGTCCCTGCTCCCTCAGCCCTGAGCTCCAGGCTCTGCTGATGAACCAGCTGACGGTGAAGGTGAGATTAATGAGTGTTTCAACTTTATTAATAAGCAGGACCGATGATATTACTAACTGGAAACCTCTCTGGTGTTTGTCTGTGTTTCCTCTCAGGGTCTGAAGAAGCTGGGTCAGTCCATCGAGTCGTCGTACTCCAGCATCCAGAAGCTGGTGATCAGCCACCTGCAGAGGTACCTGCACGTTAACCCCTTGACATCTCACCTTAAAATATGCTCCGATGCCAAATTGTGCTTTTAATGGATTCCAAAGGACACACACTTTATTGTTAAACACACGTTGTAGACCCGATGTGTTCTCTTCCCTCCCCCCCCCCCCTGCAGTGGCTCTGAGGCTCTGCTGTACCACCTGAGTGAGGTGAGGGGCATGTCTCTGTGGAAGCAGAAGTTCGAGCCCCTCGGTCTGGACGCTGCAGCGCTAGAAGGTTCAAACACTCCTCTGTTCATTCTGTAAAATATTCACTAATCGATGTTTGATCCTAATCTAAAGCCATGTGTCTCCCAGAGATACAAAACACATATTCGAGTGGTTTTCTCAATTATTTATCGACTTTAATCTCATAGAATTGTGTTTTTCTTGCATATTTGTGATTTCCTTTGAATATTACAATTAGGGTACCACTGTACAATAAGACTACCCTTATAAAAGGTTCATAAAGGGTTATTAATTAGGTTGTAAACACTTTATTAATCATTAAGAACCATTTCCAACATAGTTTTCATACATCAACACAGGCTCACTATTTGGCAAGATGACTAAGCCTTATATTGGCTACTTAGCTTACTTCGTCTTCTTCATCGACACAGGCTCACTATTTGGCAAGATGACTAAGCCTTATATTGGCTACTTAGCTTACTTCGTCTTCTTCATCGACACAGGCTCACTATTTGGCAAGATGACTAAGCCTTATATTGGCTACCTAGCTTACTTCGTCTTCTTCATCGACACAGGCTCAGTATTTGGCAAGATGACTAAGCCTTATATTGGCTACTTAGCTTACTTTCGTCTTCTTCATCGACACAGGCTCACTATTTGGCAAGATGACTAAGCCTTATATTGCTACCTAGCTTACTTCGTCTTCTTCATCGACACAGGCTCACTATTTGGCAAGATGACTAAGCCTTATATTGGCTACCTAGCTTACTTCGTCTTCTTCATCGACACAGGCTCACTATTTGGCAAGATGACTAAGCCTTATATTGGCTACTTAGCTTACTTCGTCTTCTTCATCGACACAGGCTCACTATTTGGCAAGATGACTAAGCCTTATATTGGCTACCTTAGCTTACTTCCGTCTTCTTCATCGACACAGGCTCACTATTTGGCAAGATGACTAAGCCTTATATTGGCTACCTAGCTTACTTCGTCTTCTTCATCGACCAGCAGGCTCACTTATTTGGCAAGATGACTAAGCCTTATATTGGCTACTTAGCTTACTTCGTCTTCTTCATCGACACAGGCTCAGTATTTGGCAAGATGACTAAGCCTTATATTGGCTACCTAGCTTACTTCGTCTTCTTACATCAACACAGGTCACTATTTGGCAAGATGACTAAGCCTTATATTGGCTACTTAGCTTACTTCGTCTTCTTCATCGACACAGGCTCACTATTTGGCAAGATGACTAAGCCATATATTGGCTACTTAGCTTACTTCGTCTCTTCATCGACACAGGCTCACTATTTGGCAAGATGACTAAGCCTTATATTGGCTACCTAGCTTACTTCGTCTTCTTCATCGACACAGGCTCACTATTTGGCAAGATGACTAAGCCTTATATTGGCTACCTAGCTTACTTCGTCTTCTTCATCGACACAGGCTCACTATTTGGCAAGATGACTAAGCCTTATATTGGCTACTTAGCTTACTTCGTCTTCTTCATCGACAGGCTCACTATTTGGCAAGATGACTAAGCCTTATATTGGCTACTAGCTTACTTCGTCTTCTTCATCGACACAGGCTCACTATTTGGCAAGATGACTAAGCCTTATATTGGCTACTAGCTTACTTCGTCTTCTTCATCGACACAGGCTCACTATTTGGCAAGATGACTAAGCCTATATTGGCTACTTAGCTTAATTCGTCTTCTCATCGACACAGGCTCACTATTTGGCAAGATGACTAAGCCTTATATTGGCTACTAGCTTACTTCGTCTTCTTCATCGACACAGGCTCACTATTTGGCAGATAGACGACAGCCTTATATTGGCTACTTAGCTTACTTCGTCTTCTTCATCGACACAGGCTCACTATTTGGCAAGATGACTAAGCCTATATGGCTACTAGCTTACTTCGTCTTCTCATCAACACAGGCTCACTATTTGGCAAGATGACAGCCTTATATTGGCTACCTAGCTTACTTCGTCTTCTACATCAACACAGGCTCACTATTTGGCAAGATGACTAAGCCATATATTGGCTACTTAGCTTACTTCGTCTTCTTCATCGACACAGGCTCACTATTTGGCAAGATGACTAAGCCTTATATTGGCTACTTAGCTTACTTCGTCTTCTTCATCGACACAGGCTCACTATTTGGCAAGATGACTAAGCCTTATATTGGCTACCTAGCTTACTTCGTCTTCTTCATCGACACAGGCTCACTATTTGGCAAGATGACTAAGCCTTATATTGGCTTCTTAGCGAGAATCAACTCAGTGAGCAACAGATACCAAGGATGCTGGCTGATGAAGGACACGAAGTAAGCTAGGTAGCCAATATAAGACTTAGCCGTACAGATAAATGTGGGCTCACTATTTGGCAAGCAACCGGTCACGGTCGCCCTGTTTATCTCATGTCTTATAAAAGCTTATTAATGATTTATAAAATGTTCACAACCTAATTAATAAATGAATTACAAACTACTTGTAAACCCTTTATACGGGTAGTCTTATTGTAAAGTGGTTCCCAATTTGTTTTTTCTTAATTTGGGATTTTTTTGTTTCTCTGAGAAGTATTATTTTCCTCGTAATGTATTTCCCAGAAAAGTACAATTTTATAAATGTAGACCTTTTTTTCATGTAAATTTGCGACTTTAATCTCAAAGTCTGTAATATTTAAAATCTCAGATAATATTAAACTTTTTTTCTCCAAAATGTGGGATTTTTTTCTTTTCAATCTTTGAACAATTTTACGTAAAATCTTGTAAACATTTTTTTATTTCAGATTTTTTTTTTTTCTAACAATTTTCTTATTTACAATGTTTTTTTTAATATATATTTTTTTTTATTAAATGTTTAGCTTTATAATATCAGAGACTATTTAATTTCTTTCCTACAACATTTGAGAATTTTTCATTTGGGATTTTTTTCTTGTATATTTGGGAATTTTTATCCTGGAAATGTGTTTTTTTTTTTCAAACACCACATGTGTTTCTGTTCTCAGGTGCGATCACAGCTGTGGGCTCATTTTCTCTCAAAGCAAACGAACTCCTGCAGTGAGTTGATTACTGTTCTTATTACCCGTCTTCTCAAACCATAAGCATGTTATTATGTAAATATCATCTCTGCCTTTACTCCAACTTTCAGGGTGATAGACAAGAGCATGAAGAACTTTAAAGCCTTTTTCCGCTGGTTGTACGTAGGTAAGAATAAAAGTGACCGTCGTGCACGAGTTACTGATCCTGATATACAGACATTAATTATAAATAAGGTTGTATTGATTGTTTCTGCAGCCATGCTGAGGATGTGTGAGGAGCACGTTCCTCCAGAGCTCAACAAGGTGAGTCATCAGAGCCGCTGAGGCACAGATGTGATTTAATAAGTGATAATAAATCATTCTAACGTGTTTTATTCCTCGTAGATGACCCAGAAGGACATTGCCTTCGTGGCTGACTTCCTGTCGGAGCACTTCAGTGAGGTGAGCTCAGCATGACGTCACCGTGATGGAAATTAAAACATCTTTACTAAGTGATTTTAACTTATCTCTGCTTCAACAGAACGAAGAGCTGTTTGATCGCAAAGGGAAATACTTTAACGTGGAGCGAGTGGGCCAGGTAGGAGCTCTGTGTGTGTTGATTAGCTTTAAAGGTCACCTGTCATGCAAAATGCACTTTCTGATGTCTTCTCTACATCACCATGTGTCCCCGTGTGTCCCCGGTGTGTCCCTGTGTGTCCCCGGTGTGTCACCATGTGTCCCCGGTGTGTCCCCGTGTGTCCCTGTGTGTCCCCGGTGTGTCACCATGTGTCCCCGGTGTGTCAGGAGACTCTCAAAGTGTCAGAAATAACCCCTCTCTCTTCTCCTCTGTACCCACATCTCTAAAAACGGGGACCAACGGAGATGATCCAGATTTGCTGCGTCATGACCACATTACTCAAATGTGGGCGGGCTTTAAACCCACGGGCCAATCAGAAACGTTGCTGTCAGAAACAATGAGACGTGTTCTGGAAGTAATATGGTCTGTGTTTACATTAGCATGCTAGCACTCAGAGCTAACCTGTACTGGAGAGAGTCTGTGTGAAGAAGCAGGAAATCAAAAGGAAGTCACCTTGTGGTAAACCTTAGAAAGAGAGAAAGAGTTTGAGCTCCATCCTGTTTCAGAGAGGATCCTTGATGTGGTTTGGAACATGATGTGGAGTTTCTTCATGGCAGCTACTGACCCAGAGTCAGCTCTTTAGTAACAGCTGGAAGAGAGGGGGGGGGGGGGGCTACAATGATCTGTTTGGGGTTTGGAGCAGGACACTTCAGAGACATGTTTTTGTATTTCTGAGACCTATAATATATTCCTAAAAATAGTTTAATAGGAGACCTTAGAGCTGCTGTGTAACAACACGTCTCCCTGTGCAGTATCTGAAGGACGAGGACGAGGATCTGGTTTCCCCCCCCCAACACCAAGGGGAACCAATGGCTGAGGTTCCTGCAGGAGAGCGCCCACCTGAAGGGTGAGACCCACTCAGCTCGAGAAGTGATTCATTAGCAGCATGATCACTGATTACGGTGCGAACGAGGGGGACATGGTGGACACAACCAGTACATCTCAGTCAGTTTGAGATGTGGTTTCACTTTGAAACCATTTTGGGGGTGCCAGCAAAGCCCCTCATTTGCTCCTCGATGCATCGAGAAAAATATACTTTATTCTTCTTAAGAAGTGGCGACACATCGTCCCCTTGTTTAATGACTGCTATGCAATATCTTCGATCAATTTACTCCTTAAAGGTGGGGTAGGTCATTTTGGAGAAACCGGCTCGAGTGGCTAGAATTTGAAAATACACAACCGGAACAAATCTGCCCCTTCCTCACAGAGCCCCTCCTCCAACACACACGAACGCGCACATGACCAATGAGGGCAGAGATCAGTCTGTGCCCCGATGGAAGGCTGACAGGCAGGTAGGCCATCCAGTTACTTTAGCCGGCTCAGATGATTGGTCGAGCTTTCTACAGCACCACGGCTTCAAAGCACTTCAGATATTCATTGCTATCGGGATGTTAAGAGCATTCCATGGAAGATAACAAGTGTATCTCGAGCCGGTTTCTCAAACTTACCTACCTTTAACTACATGACCAAATATGCATAAGTTCCCGCATGCTGGGGTTGGGCTTAAAGAAAGTGGGTGGCAATAAGAAAAAGATGTATTGAAAGAGCGACCTGCAGTGTGTGTCATGTTTCCTAATGTTTGGGTTCAACTTAAAGCGATTTAAAAAGGCAGCATTCCCCATTAACTGACTCCCTAAATGTGTGCCTGTTCCTGCAGAGAGCCCCCTGCTGTTCCCCTCGTTCCCTCAGAAGTCTCTTCACTTCGTTAAGAGGATGATGGAGGGCGTCATCGAGCAGTGTCTCCAGAAACCTGCAGTGAGTCTCCTCCTCTTCCTCCTCCTCTTCCTCTTCAGCAGCACAAATACACACGTCAGGCACCTAGGACTGCTTGTTAGACTCTTTGTAGGTACAACAATATGTAGTATAAGTATAAGATCAGATTAGAGCTACTTTATGGAGCCCACTTTGCTAAATGTTTGCGTTGCAGCAGGAAACACAACACAACAAGGCTTTGCCGATAACTTCACAACACTAGAATTGAAACATCTCAAAATAGAATGAAAGCAGAATTCAAAGTAGAACATATACAGTGGACCGTGAAGATAAACAATCTGTAAACTCTGACAATACAAATAAATGACAAGGGGAGGGGAGGGGGGGGGGGGGGCTGTCAGAGAAAACACGTCAATCGTGAGAAAATACTACATACATTTGATAGACAAATTGTGTTGTCATTTCTTTGTATGTTCGACAAATTTTAATTCCAAAAAGGTGCTGTGAAATGGGGGGGTCTGGGGGGGGTCCGAAAACCAGGCAGTATCTGGTGTGAGGGGTAGGGTTAGGGTTAGGGTTAGGGTAACGTTTTGAATCGAGTGGCCTATGTTCGTCGTCCATAACATACGCCTGCCCATACCATAACCCCACCACCACCATGGGCCACTCGATTCACAACATTACCCTAACCCTAACCCTAATCCTACCCCTACCCCTAACCCTAACCCTAACCCTACCCCTACCCCTAACCC